ATTCCCGGTGGAATCCGAAACGTCGGGAAAATAAAACTCTTGTTCCAGTGGTCGCATCTTTTTCTTTTTCTGATTGTCAATATCTCCTGATTTAAACTGGCAAGATACTGAGCTCGTGGCGCAATGGTTGGAGCGTTCGATTCCTAATCAAAAGGTTGCTAGTTTGAGCCTCGGGCAAGTCTTCTTTGTCTTTGCCGGTAATGCTATCTGCCCAGACTACTAGCGGCTTTGCGACTGCTAGCAGGGCTCGAGAATGAATCTCAAGGCAAAGCGGGACGAATGATTTCCGTTAGCGATCGATGAAAGTTCACAAACGAATGGTTAGGTAGTGGTTGACTGAGAAGTTGGTGGAAATGCACACTTCTTGTGCCTGTTTCGATACACAATCACCCCTTCGACTCAGTCTCAACGACGTCAATGCTGAAGATATTTAACTCCTACTTTGGGTTTAACTTTCGAGCAATCAATTGAGTTTCAGGTATTCACGTTCACAGCCATCCACCGCTTTCAACAAAGTCATTGCACTCCCCGCAGCTGCATAGATATTGGTAGATAAAGGCCACTTCTCCTGTTTAGAAAATATGCGGGTCGGCCGCACCGGACTAGTGAGCCAGGCCAGCCAGCGAGTGAGATGTAGTCTCGAACTCGGATACCCTTCCAAGGCGGAGTGTTCCACCATGATCTCGGTGGACTGAATTATTTATTCTTTGGGAAATTCGACTCCTTCGAGCGAATGCTCGCGGTAGGCTTCTATAATCGTTTGAACTCTGGGCCAGAACGGATGGGAACGATTTCAGACTAGATGTATGCTTGCTAGCGCTTAACAACGATATTCCACTTCTTTAAGCCATAAAAATAACATCATTACATTCCTTAAATGTACATGCAGTCATTTTCGAACGATTTGAGAGGGTTTAAGCTGCAGGGGAGGTTTTCTGAAATGACGGTACCGAAAAGGACAAGGGGACTGGAATGGCCATTTCTTGCTTATTAGCCACTGTCAGCCAGTCTACTGAAGCTCAACTCTGTAGCGTCTGAGGCTTGAACCCGCGCTTCTTGTTCCAAGCTACACAACCGAGTGTTTGTGGACTAGAGAGGACAAACTTTGACTGGTGTTCACAAGTACCAAATAATGTAGTTAGATGCACTTTTAAAATGTGTTTCACTCTGCTAATCGTTCTGACTGAGCTAGCAAGCCGTCTTGCATGCAAGACATGTACGATAAAGGAGCGAACTACGAAGGAGACCAGATTGAAGCAACAGCTAGTCCCGAAAATAAGGTGCTGCAAAAACATTTGGAATTTTGATAGACAGAAATTTTACTCAGCTTCTGGAAACCTAATGTAGAAAGGCTAACAAAAGTATTGAAAGACGGTACCAGAATACCCTTTTAGATACATGTGGAGTTTTTTGTCTTAGAAACATGAAAGTCATAATTACTGTTATATTTAATGATGGAAATTACTCTGACTGTTCTTGCTTCAAATAATGTCTTTTAAAGTTTTCAATCGCTGAGAAGTAAACAATTTAAACGTAACAGGTTTGTTCCTTCAAAGAGAAAAAAACGACATATAATCACCAGCCTAGCCCTCGATGTAGTGCCATCCTGCATATGCGGAAAGTTCACATTTACTTCTATTTGCTGCGAGGTGGATTACTGGATGGTTTTTCAAGTCGCAAAATCCGACATCGGTGGGAATCTGGAAACGCAGTGGAACTGTAGGTAGGCCATCATATGTGGTTACAACGAGAGCGCGCCAATGGGCATTTAACACGCAACAGACGGCGAACATCGCCCAACCTATAGGAATTGTTTGACAGTCGATCACAGTCCAATGCCGCAGGCAAAACTAGGGCGAGGGTGGCTTGCATGGCCGCCTTAAAAGGGCACGAGACGAGGAACCGTCAGCAATACAAGTGGTTTTGTGCCAAATTCCGTGGAAATTGTGTTCAAGAATAAGGTGAGAGTTGGAATCAAGAATAGGGTTAGGTCTAACGTTAAGGTCTGAGTTGGGATTATGGTCAAGATGATAGTAAGAGCCAAGACTTTGGTTTGTGTCGACTGTGGACTTTAGGCGTAGGGTAGGGCTAGGGTTAATATTAAGATGAGACAAGGGACCATGCATCCCTCCTTTAATTTCGCACGGGGCCACTTATTTTAAGTGGGCGGGACGTTCCTATTCTCGTTTTGGCAAAATTTGCTTATGTAGCCCCACTCATATATCCCTAGTCCCAGCATTTTGTCCTGCAAA